CACTGGGATATTCCTGGGCTTCCTTCAGGTTTCAGCTCAGCCACTGCGTCCTGTCAGAAGCCTCACGACTGTTGCTGTTCTCTCATCTCCTTTCTGACATTCACACATGCGTACATGTGCTCACACATATGCACATGTGTGCACACATGCACACACACACACATACACACACATCTGAGCTTTCTCATCTATGTGTCCTCCACAGGGCCTCTACCATAAACCTTACCATTTTTCATTGTAATTCTTTCTGTTTAATTTCACTACATGGTGAGCTTCGATCAGGGTGGGATCAGCTTTTTGTCTTTCATACCTCCTAGCATGTCTTAAGCACTTGAAAGTAGCTTCTTTTATAATGAATAGGTTTGAAGCAGACTACAAACATCATTAAAACCAGAAAAATCCAGAAACAAGGCAGGTGGGAAGGAAAGCATAAGCATTCATATCTTAGACCATCATATGGTCTAAATAACTGGGTATAATTTCTGATTGAAAAAATGCAGAACCCAGAGCTCCAAAGATAGAACTTTCTCAGAAGCCTTAGGACAGTGCCCAAATTCAAGCCTCCCCAAATCTTCACTGAGTCTTCAGGTTGTGTTTCATCCCAAGTATAGGAAATGGATGCTTTCTCCCCAGACTCCAGTGACCCTAAACTCACCTCTGCCAAATGGGTCTTTCCCTGGGTCTCTGCATTTCCAAATGTCCTTTCACCCTCTCTGGAAGGGTTGTTATAGACATCCTACAGAACACACTAGAGGGGAAATGAGCTCCACTGAGGCTTTATCTCCTGCTAATAAGTAGAAAGCAATCTTTTCTCTCATGGGGTCAATTATCAGAATACTTCTGCACTTTCTTCTCATTAGATCCCCAGGTCAAAGGGGAGTCAATGCTCCAAGGAAGACTCACAGATCCTGGTGACCATTGTTACCACCTTTTCCTTATTCTCATTATGATTTAACCAGTCTCCATCTTGGTATGGAATGGGAGGGTTCCATACAAAGAACAGCTTTGGTAGGACCCCATCCTTAAAAAACACACAAGAAATAGGACAGTGTTGAAGGTGATTTGTTGGCCTGTTAAGTATTGTGAATAAATTAGTGAAGAAAAAATAGAACAATTTCTGTGAAAACATGTCATTTGGAAAAATGAGCCAGTACTAAAGAAGACAGTGGAAGAATGTCCACTATTTCCTTCCAACAACATACATGGGGCTCTCCTTCAAATTATTCCCACTGATTCTGATGAACTCTTTAAATTTCCTATTTTTCTCGACAAAATATATGAAAGATTGGTGTATAGTTCTTGTATACCATTTTATTTACAGTTTGTTGCAAATGTTGTAAAATACAACAAATATATATTAACTTTTTTTCTATTCATCATTCTTATAGAAAATATCTTAGAAGTTTCTTGATACAGTAGTATAACAATGGGCTCATGTCCTTCGTTGTGAATGTGATTAGTGAACGTGGCTCAAAGGTATGCAGTGTTAGGAAGAAGGAAGTTGGTGACATCTTAGAATACATTACAAAAACAAATTCATATTAATTACCATTGCATAAGATACATTTATTTTTAACCACTGAAAATAATCAGGGAAGATCTTTTTCCTTCGTGTTTCTCTCTCAAGTGTAGTACTACTACAGAAATTTATGGTTAAAAAATATTTTATATGCTCCCTTGAATATACAATTTCATCTAGATTATCTATTTTCCCCCCATAGAAACTAATCTGTTTTTAGTATCAGCAACATTTGGCAACTTTACTTTTCAGATATAATCTGTGGTTCCTCTGTTCACTGTTTCCAGAAATAAAATTATTTCTATGACAAAATGCATAAATTAACAAGAAATGAGAGTGACTTAATTTGCTTTAGGAAAAAGAAATGCTTCATTAATCTGAATTTGTCCTCATCCAGGTGTTAGGAAGTCTAGAGAGTGAAAGGGTTGAATGACAATAGTGCTCCCTTCTTAATAATGTGCCCTTGTTAGCAGACCTGCCTCCTCCGTCAGCGTGAATCTTAAGAGTTGCCCCAGTGGAACTGAAGTGAGTTTCTTGTTGGCAGATGGGCACCAGTAGCAGCAATATAGAAGGACATATTTGCACAGTCTCTTTATTCTCTAATTCCAACAAGTTTGTTGCTTTCAGAAGCAAGAAAAAATTTCTTCTCCCCACTCTTGTTTTAAATGCACCACAAGAAAAGTATAAACAGTTGAACTATATCAAACCCTTTGTGACACTTGGAGAAATCAGTACACTTTTAGATTAACAGAATCATTTCTAAATCTTTTGGTTTGTTTTCCTTTGGTATGGGAAGTTATATAATACTTAACTGACAATAACGAGTGTTGGCATGTGGGAGCATATCTCAAATGCATTACACGTACTCCACGGTCTTTCTGTGGATTCTCCTGCTCCCCTGGTGCATTTGTCTTTCCATCACCTGCTGCTGCAGACTTAGGAATGCTGACACAACCATGTGAATTCTGGTTGCCCACAGAGCAGGAAAGCACATTTTCTGGCAAGGGTACCATGAAGCCATGAGGTGCACGCCTTAGTCAAGTATAGATTTTGTTGGATAGTTTTTTGTTTCCTTATCTACTTTTGTTTGCTTTCTTTATTTTTGATGACTATGACTCATGTTCAAAATCACTGGGTACAGCGTGGGATGCCGTGTAGGACTGAAGTTTGTTCATTGTATCCGAAGCCTCCTCTCCTGTATCAGCAGCCCTTTAATTTTAATTGTTTCTGTGATAGGACTCAGAATTCTTATGGCAAATATGGGTGTAGACCAAGTCTATTAGAGGTAGTCACTAATGTGCACTTTTTCTCTGTTGATGGTGGCATCCTGAACTCAGACTTTTGAAGCAAACATGTTCCAACTTTACTTGGCATGCCATTATTACGGTAGTAATAATTTAGTCTTACTAAATGTATATGCTTATTATTCTAATGGAGAGTGAATTACATAACTAAAAATAAAAGTATAATTTACTGCCTTAAGTATTATTTTTGCTTTTTATATGATATCTGCTTTCCGACAAACCTTATCAGGTAATCCATGATCTGTCATGAAATAGAAAACTTTCCCGAGATCTATCACCTGAAGCACATGGCCAGCTTCTGAAGGGGTGAGTTTTCTTTTAATTACAACTCTTCAGAAGAAAGCAAGCAAAGCCTTCAACCCCATGATAAAATTCTTGACCGTATATACATCAGGTGTTATAGCTATGACAGAGAGTACAAATGTGTTTTCCTAGATATAAGGGAAAGTAATCAGGAGAACAGACAGAAAGTTCAGTGTGACAAGAAATAGGTATAGAGTAGTTTCTTTTTTTAATCTGTTAGAGAAACATTAAAACAGTCGAAGGGGACATGCAGCTCAAAATTAACCTCTAGATGTGTTCAACTCTTTCCAAAGATGGAAGAGTTTTCTAATTGCATTTTTCATGTCCTTGTTTCTCAGACTATAAATGATGGGATTGAAGAATGGGGGCAAGGATAGTAAACATCAGTGCAATAGCTGTGTCCAAAACTGGGGGATAGATGGCATTGAAATGCAAGTACATGAGGGACACAGTGCCAAAGAAAATCAGGAAGACAGTGAGATGGCCAACACAGGTAGAAAGGTCTTTTGCCAACCCTCAGCAGAGGGTATCCTCAAGATCACAGTGACAATTCTGATATAGAACAGGGCAATGATTAGGACGGTAGTGATGATGGCCACAGCATGGATCACATCTTCAACCAGAATCATGAACATGTCAATACAGGCCAGCCTCAGCATGAGGACCAGTTCACAGAAGTTCTGATGGATTTGGTTGGGCCCACAGAAGGGCGATGCGGAAATCATTACAATCTCAAGAAGCAGGATGAAGAAGCTGAAGACACAGAGAGCTGAGCACACAGCCACGGGGTCATGATCATTTGGTAGTAGAGAGGGTTGCAGATGGCAACGTACCTGTCAATGGCCATGGTGATCAACAAGATCCCCTCCAAATTTCCAAGTGAATGGAAGAAGTACATCTGCAAGAGGCAGCCAGTAATGGAGATGGTCTTCTTCTCACTGATGAGGTTGGAGAGCATCTTGGGAATGCTGGCTGTGGTGTAGAAGGAGAAGATGCTGATGAAATTGTACACGGGATTGTGGAGACATGCATCCAGCCTCACAGCAAATAAAATCAATATATTCCCAATGACAATAAACGTGTAGATGAAGAGTAAGGGAAAGAAGAACAGGAGGCCACCATCCTGGAGCTGGGGGAAGCCAGTGAAGATAAATTCCATCACTGCTGACACGTTTGCACTCTCCATACGCTCAGCAGAGCTCCCTGTGAATGAAGGAGAGGGCACACACCAGCTCACAAGAAGGTGGAGAAGAAAGGATGGTGTACAGCTAAATAACTCAAATGAATAACGAAATAACTTGAAGGTTTTATTTTTTCCTAATGTCACACTCTTGTGCATATTGACTAGTATTTGACATGCTTTCTCACTCCTTCACAATCACAATCACAGAAACAGGTATCTCTAAATGTTTTTAATGGTGCAATTAACCTGTAATATACCTATTTGCATTTGTAAGTTGCACACACTTACTGTATTATTATTTAATAATTCAAAATATATGCATATATTATAATACTAAATTTTAGAAGTAAGGAGCACGAATAAAAAGAAACACACTAGAAGTTGTATTATTTTTTTCTTTCCATCCCATTGGACCATCTTGCACATTCCTCTTTGGAGATTTCTGTTCTAGGGGATTAGAAAGTAGGCCTGGAGTCTACCCTGAAACCCCAATTGAGCCTCTTACTATCTATGTGTCTTTGGGCAAATTACTTAATCTTTTAGGCTCAAGTACTCGTTTGCAAAAATGAGATTAAAAATAGTGCCTATCTAATAGGGAATCTGAAGATTAAGTAAATATCTGCACAGGACTTAATCATTGTCCAACAGGCAACTTCTTGAAAGGGTGGTAAAACCCAGCTCCCTGCGCCTCTCATGTTCCTACAACACTGGTGTTTACTCTCTCCCCCACTTCTGCACTGAAGCTCTTCCCACCAAGCTTCGCGAAGCCCTGTCTGCCCATGCTAATGGAGACTCTGCTGTCCTCTGGCACTGGACACAATTCATCACTGTTACCTGAGGCTTTCCTCCTCCACTTCTGGGATTCCATCCCTAAGAGTAAGAGGCATGAATAAAAATAAACATAATAGGAGTTACAGTATATATTCCCAGTGGCTCTCAGAGGTGGTTCTGGCTTGGGCCTTTTCTTTTGTTCCACTTAGTTGTATTCATTCTACCATCCTTACTCTTACTTCTCCTCGTCTCTCTCTTATTAACATGGCTGCTTTTCTTAAACTCTTCCCCAGGCGCTCATTTCCCTCAGGCTCTCTGCTCTCAATAGCTCTATTTGCTCATCCACTCTGCTCTCGATAATTCTATTTGCTCCTGTGCTGATCTCATCCACTTACAAGATCTCAACTATTAAAACTTGCAGATGTTTTTCCCCAGTGGGTTCATGAGCTCCAAACCCACACATCTGACCCAGAACTCGCTCCAGCTTCCCCTTCTAGCATCAATGCTGTTCCCCTAGAGTCTCCTCGTGCATACTGCTTTGTGGGATCACCATAGGCTCCTGAGTCTACCATGTCTTCTGACTGTGGTGTAGCCACCACTCCTTACTCTGCCCCCTCTCCTGACACAAAAGCAATATGTAATCCTGGTCAAAAGTCTGCATGTCAGAAACAGATCCTCTCCACTGCTTATAAACCCCCTGGCCTATCTCAAGTTATTTCACCTTTCTATGTCTTTAATTCCTCTTTTGTAAGATGAAGAAAATATTGATACTGGCATGTAAGGCTTCAAGAATAGCTAGACACTTTTAATAACAATAACAGCACTGTATAGTATGCTGGGCTATTGAGTCACTTACTGAGGCAAGCACTGCCCCAAGTACAAGCTATATTTCTTACTAATGCTCTAATGAGGTAAGATTATCCCCATTTTACAGATGAGAAGACTTGGGCACAGACAGATGAAACACTGCCCAGGGATTCTCAGCTGAACTCAGAATATAAATCCATGCACTGTATCTCTAGTGACATGCTCCAACCCAGACACTTGACCGCCCTTACCAATATGTGTAAACATAATTTCAGTGCTTTAAAGTAGTGCCAGGAATGTAGTAAACACTCCAGAATATTGGGCACTATTACACTGGGGTTTCTGTAGTGTATGCATCATGTTTCAAAATAATTATCAACTACCTGTTTTTCGTTCTCTAGGCCAGGCTCTTCCTTCAGGGCAATAAGCTAGAACAGGGTTGGCATGTAAAAAATGGTTGGTGTCAAATAAGTTAACTTGGAGCCAAGCTACTGGGTGAAATTATAATTTAGCCCACGAGACAGCCTTGGACAAGTGAACAAAGAAAATTAGGGACTGTTTGGAAAGGGAAGTATGACAATTTACTTTGAGTGACAGTCCTAATCAAGTCTGGAAAAAATCACCTCTCAAAAGATGGCATCATAATGGAGTATTCTGTTTCATATATACCTGTGCCTGGCATAGTCTCCCCCTACACTTGCTGTTGCACCCCACCAACATTTGAAGCTTCTGAGTCCCCAGGTTATGACGTTCTTATTTGCATGGTGAGTGAATTCTTTCTCAAGACAGCCTTCTGAACTCACTTCTACCAAAAACCACAGGGGCTCCCCTGTCTGGGTCTCTGCATCCTTGATATTCCTCCAATCCTCCAAAATGGGACTTAGAACTATTTTCACAGGCATCCCAGCGAATAGCAGGAAGGGGAAGTGGGTGTCATAGGGGATTCCTGACCTGCACCACAGTGGAGAGCATCACTTTCGCTCGTGGGGTTAATTAGCAGAAAGATCCCCACCATATTCTTCTCTCATTAGATTTTAGGATCAAAGTTGTCATCAAGTATTTTTTCCTGATTGTACTTATCACTCTGAACATGGCAAACTACTTTCTCCAGCATGATGGCTATTGCCCCAGGTATGAGTGTCTATTAGGGGGTCATGCAAAGAGCACTTTTGTGTTGGTCCTGCTCTTCTCGCATGAAGACACACATGTGGAAAGTCTTGAAGGAATATACTGACACCAGAAAAAAAAACTTGAAAAAATATTTAATAGAAAATAAGATCATTTCATAACAGACATGTCATTGGGGTTTTGTGCCAATATTGAAGTGAGGGGACAATGTCATTTTTTTCTCATGCCACAAATGCATGTGGATCTCTCTTACCCTGAACAATTCACATTGGTCCTGCTCACCTCTCTATTGACAGTCAATATCTCACCTTTTTTCACAGGATTATTCTGTACTCTATGTGCTCAATCCACTGCTTTGTGCTCTGTGGAAAACCCAAAGTTCTCCTCCTCCTCCTCCTCATCATCATCTTCCTCCTCCTTCTCCTCCTCCTCATCTTCCTCTTCCTCCTCCTCTCCCTTCTTCTCTATAATCTAGTTGCTTTTGTTATAGAATCTTCTTGAAAATAAGTATCAGATTTTGGATGGGAAAACATGCTTTCTTTCTCTCTTGAGTTTTGTCTAACATTTATTCCTGTGACTTGGTGGCCTATTTTCCTTGTCTAACTTCTTATAATACTTTCCCTTGAAATTCAAAAATAATAATAAGCCATGGGAATAAAAGTTACAGCATAGGGAATATAGTCAGTGATGTTGTAATAGTGTTGTGTGGTGACAGATGGTGTCTACATTTGTGGGGAGCACAGCATGACATATAAAGAAGTTGAATCACTATATTGTACACCTGAAACTAATGTAATGTTGTGTGTCAACTATACTCAAGTTAAAGAAAAACATCACATGAGGGACCTGAAAAAATTTTAATTGGTAAAATTGTATTTCTGATGATTTAGCATAGTGTGAACCAGTCTATTTCATTTTTAACAAATTTATTGAGATATAATTTGTATACAAAGAACATATGTAATGAATACAATGTGATGAGTGTGAACATACACAAACACCATATATAATCACCACAGTAAAGTAATAAATGTATCCAACACCTCCCAGAGTAGCTTCATGTTTAAGGTCGCAACGCTTGTATGTAGTACAGTAAAATATGAACCTTAACCTCTTCTACAGATCTTACACTCTTAACCACTCTATTTTATAATCTGTAGTTATTTCTAATGCCTTTGGAATAATAATAATAATAATAATAATACTTACATAGTAACAATAAAATTGATGTTTATAAGATCTATTTTAATGGCTTAAACATTATATTTCCTTTCTATTATCTATCCATCTATGCAAGTCTAAACAGGTAGTCCGTGATATATTAAATGTGTATAAATAGAATAAACATGTGAACTGGAATAAATAGAAACTATCAGTGTGACAATGAATGAGTTATATGTTAATTTTATGGTTTAGTATGTCAGGGTAACATCCAAAGTGAGAGGTGCTAAGAGCTAGCTAACATCAACTTGCAGATGCATTAAACACTTTCTGAAGGCAAAGAAGTTTATTTTTTTAAGATTTTATCTATTTATTTGAGAGAAAGAGAGAGAGCATGAGTTGGGGTGGGGGGCAGAGGGAAAGGGAGAAGCAGACTCCCCACTGAGCAGGAAGCCTGATGTGGAGCTTGATCCCAGGATCCTGGGATCATGACCTGAGCCAAAGAGCCAAAGGCAGATGCTTCACTGACTGAGCCACCCAGGCAACCCAGGACAGAGAAGCTTCTTAATTGCAATCTTCATATCCTTGTTTCTCAAGCTATAGATGATAGGGTTGAAAAGGGGAGCAAGAACAGCAAACATCAGTGCAATAACTGTGTCCAAAATTGGTGGGAAAGTGGCAGCAAATCGCAGGTACATGAGGGACACACTGCCATAGAACATCAGAAAGACACCAAGATGAGATGCACAGGTGGAAAAGGCCTTCTGGCGGCCTTCAACAGAAGGGATCCTCAAGATCACAGTGATGATTCTGATATAAGAGAGAGCAATAATCAGGACAGAAAAGATGATGGCCACAGCATGGATCACATCCTCAATCAGAATCACGGATGTGTCTGTACAGGCCAAGTGCAGCACAGGCTCAAAGTCACAGAATATCTGATGGATTTGGTTGGGCCCACAGAAGGGCAGTGTGGAAATCCATGCAATCTCTGGGAGCAACACAAGAAAGCCAAAGATGCAAGAGCCTGCAGAGAGCTGAGCACACAGCTGGGGGGTCATAATGGTAGGGTAGCGGAGTGGGTTGCAGATAGCAACATACCTGTCAATGGCCATGGTGGTCAACAAGATCCCCTCCGAATTTCCAAGTGAATGGAAGAAGTACATCTGCAAGAGGCAGCCAGTAATGGAGATAGTCTTCTTCTCACTGATGAGATTGGACAGCATCTTGGGAATGGTGGCTGTGGTGTACCAGATCTCCAGGAAGGAGAAGATACTGATGAAATTGTACATGGGATTGTGGAGACGGGTGTCCATCCTGACTGCAAAAAATATAGTGAGATTCCCGATAACAATGAATGTGTAGATGATGAACAAAGGAATGAAGAGGAGGAGGCTACCATCTTCAAACTGGGGGAATCCAGAGAAGAGAAACTCTGTCACCGTAGAAGTTTGGTTAGTTCTTACCATGATCTCAGTGGCCTTAAATGTTATGGGTAGAAAGACACAGCTCACTCCCTAGATGAAATATAAAGAGTTAGATCTCTTGGCTCATATAAGAGTAAAAGGAAGAAATGCTTTAGGTAGATGATTTACTCCATCATTCCTGGATTAATTAAGCAGATATCCATTTAGTTTCTATTATGTGCCAAGTACAACTGTAGGCTTGTTAAATTCAGTACTGAAGAAAGCACTCTGTTTTCATGGAGATTGTATTTCAACGAAGGAGGCAAATAATAATAAACAAGGTATTAATAATGTCACATTTATAAGTTATGCTAGCTAAAATAAAGTAGAATATTAAGGGTACTAATAGGAATCACCTTTTATAAGAATTCCCCCAAATCATTGTGAATCACATACCAGATAAATTCTCGAATGTTTCCTGACTATGGATTAGACAATCAAAACTTTTAGTTATTTTCTTCTCTATATAGTTATTGTAAAGTTATATTCTGCACTTTCTGAAAAATCTCCAGTTTTAAATATTCTCCTCCTTTTTCAGACTACGGAGGAGCTCTGAGTGTGGTTAGAGAAGAGGGTAATGTTTTTAGGCAAATATATCAAGGTGAAGCTATGGTAGGAAACTATTCCCAGCAGCAGAAAAGATAAAGCTAGTGGAAACTGGCCAGCACAGAGGGAAAAGAGGTGGGAGAAACTGAGCTTTAGAGGATTATGGAAGAACAAAGAAGGCCCAGTGGGTGAACTGGGAGTTCTCTCTTTAGAACCTAGTTCTTGAAATCTTTCAATCAGTCTTCTAAATGTCAGTCCATCAGAGATATTGAAAAGAAGCAGAGAGTCTCATGGAGATAGCTAAGTCTCCCTGTGCAGATCATTTATACCTTAAAAAAGACCATCAAGGAATGAAAAAGTGAGGGCCAAAATGTGAGAGTCCAGCACAATTTAGATCCCTTGAAAGTGGCATGAAGCATGAAGAGGTCTCTAAAGGTAGTACAAGGAAACGCATCAGGTGCACCTGGGACTATTCCCCTGGCAATTCAGAAACCTGGTCTAACGGAGATAGAAAAATCAGTCAAAGAGAAATGTTGAGGACACCAAGGAATTTGAAATATAAGTTCTCTTTTGAGATAATGTAGAGCCATTTAAAAATGAGCTCCTCATATGATTAAATTAGAACACTTGATTATGCTGTATGCCAATATTCCCCTAGGAAGGCAGCCAAATATTTCCCTTGAGCTGATACTATTTGAAAAAATTACTTATAAGCAGAATCAATGTAAGCTTACAACTTTATTGAAGAATGGCATTTGAAATTCCAAATTAACATGAGGCATTTAAAACATAGATAGAACCAAAGAAAAAAAATTTGGCTCATTCAGAGATTTTTTTCAGAGATCTCATTACAAAACTGAATACATATTTTGAAAAAGATCTTTTAGGAACTGCTTTATATAGACTAAATTTGACAAATATCAGTTCAGCAGCTTGTAGAAAACTAAGTGCCCACAGAGAATTAGGAAATGTTGATTATTACACGTATACGTGTAAATCCCTCAGGTTTTCATAAATAAGATTATTGTAAGGGTTGTTCTACAGATATCAATTATCATTAATTTTTCTACTGGTTATAGAACATCTAGTACATAAATATGCATATATAAGAATGTGTACATTATACATTATGTATAATAGATAGATTCATTCAATGCAATCTCAGTTAAAATCCAGGTAGAGTGTTTTCTTAGATATTAAGAAGCTAATTTTAAATTTTTATGAAAAGACAAGGGACTAGGCAAAACATCTTGAAAAAAAGAGAACAAATTTAGAGGACAGAACTGCTGATATACATTTCCAGACTCACTATAATGTTAAAAAAAATCAAGATAGTGTAGTATTGTCAAAAGAATAGATACATAGATGGGCGCCTGGGTGGCTCAGTTGGTTAAGCGACTGCCTTCGGCTCAGGTCATGATCCTGGAGTCCTGGGATCGAGTCCCGCATCGGACTCCCCACTCGGCGGGGAGTCTGCTTCCTCCTCTGACCCTCCCCCCTCTCATGCTCTCTCTGTCTCATTCTTTCTCTCTCAAATAAGTAAATAAAATCTTAAAAAAATAAAAAAGAATAGACACATAGATCAATGGAACCAAATAGAGTACAAAAATAGACACTCATATATATGGCCAAGCCATTCAACAGAGAGAAGAAAGTATTTCTGGCAAATGGCACTGGGAAAACTGGCAACAAATGGGCTAAAAAAATCTTGCATCATACACGAGAATTAACACAAAATGGATCATAGACCTAAATGTAAAACCAAAAACAATATCTCCCAGAAACTAGAAGAGAACATCTTTATGACCTTTAGTTCAACAAAAATGTATATGCTATAACATCAAAAGTACAGTATCTAAAAGAAAAAAAAATGATAAATTGAACATCACCAAAATTGATTGCTTTGCAAACTCAGCAAAATTAAGGAATGAAAAGAAAAGCCATTCTGGGAGAAAATATTTGTGAGACATGTATCCAGCAAAAGACATATCCAGAATACATGAAAACTCAAAATTCTTAAAACCACAATGAGATATATCACCATAACACATCTATAAGAACAATCACATTTTTTTTTTAACAAAACAGCTGGTGAGGCCAAATGCTAGGGAAAGTATAGAGCAACTAGATCCCTCCTATAGGGCTGGTGGGAATACAAAATGGTGCAGCCACTAGGGAAGAGTTTAGCAGTTTCTTATAAAGTCAAACATACCCTTAACATGTCATCCAGCAACTCCACTCCTAAGTATTAACCCAAAAGAAATGAAAGTTTGTTTATATCACTAAATTCTATACCTGAAGCCTATTTTAGCATACATGTTAACTAACTAGAATTTAAATAGAAACTTGGGGAAAAACTGAAAGTTTATGATCACACCTGTAAACAAATATTTATAGTGGCTTTATTTATAAAACTGTAAACAACTCAAAAGGCCTCTAGCTGGTAAAGGGATAAATGAACTTGTACATCCATGCAATGAGCTACCACTCAGCAATGAAAATGAATAGTATACACTCAACGCAGATTAATCTCAAATGCATTGTGATAAAGGGAAGGAGCCAAAAGCTACATATTCCATTTATATGACTACTGTGGACTGAATGTTTTTGCTCCCTGCCCCTCTCATTCCCATGTTGAAACCTCACCTCCCAATGTGACAATACTAAGAGATGGGGCTTTGGGAAGGTAATAAGAATTAGATGAGCTCACGAGTGTCATTATTTCCCGTCTAAGAGTCTGGAGAGAACTTCTTCTCTCTGCTGTCTGCCATGTGGAGATACAGAGAGAAGCAGTCATCTACAAAGCAAACACCAAGTCTTCCTGACCTAGACCTCAGACTCCCAGGCTGCAGAGGTGTTACATATAAATGTGTGTTGTGTAAGCCACCCCTTCTGTGATACTTCTGTTATAGCAGCCTGAATGAATTAAGATAGAAATTAGCATCAAGGAGTTAGGGGTATTACTCTAATGAATACTTAAAAATCTGGGAGCAGCCTTGAAACTGAGCAATAGGCAGAGGCTGCAAGAGTTTAAGAGAAAGTATTTTGTGCCCAAGAAAATCTCAGTCCCAGGTGGATGGAATGCGATAGTGACCCAGATCTGTAGGGTGATCATCAGTAGTAACTTTGACTCATCACTCTACTCTTGCCAAACTCAACTCCAAGTAGATCAGGAGAGCAGTGTGGGCCCATGGAAGTCCACTGGAACAGACTTGCCCTTCTCGGTCTTCTGGACTCTGTGAAACTTAGAACAGGTGAATGGAGGGGCTTGGAGAAACCCAGGAAAGGATGGAAGACCTGGGCTGACCTGAAATTCGCAGAAATGTTAGGCTGACCCAAGCCTCAGGGGGATGGAATTAGCTTATGGTTGAGAAAGGGAAGACATTTAAGTTATGTAAAAGCTTGTGAATAAATGACTTACGAGTCCAAGGCATAGGAAAAAAATAATAAGGGAACAGTAGATCTCTCCTACTCTACCCTCCGCCTCAAAAATATATATGCACCGAGGAGTCTGGCTGAAACCCTGTGTGATTTTCAGACCTGACTGCAGGAGATTACAAAGGCTTTCCCAGGCAGGTTTCCCCGGGAAAGCCATCCCTGGCACCAGGTCTCAGCCCATGCACTGAAGCGTCTAAGAGAGTTGCAGCAAGGACTAAGGCTCCTTTGCCCACTCATACCCTTTGCATGGTTCCATTTGCCCCAGCAAATGCACTCCTACATCTCTATTTGCAGCCTTGGGCCAAAGTCCTCTTCAGGCATCCTTTCTGAGGCTTCTTTAGGGGAAGAGAGAGAGAAACCCTGGGGTCACTTCTCCCCACTCTGACTTAGTCCACTCTGTATCCTCCTCTCCATCTCAGGGTCCATAAAACTGCTGGAGCCTTTTGTTCAGGGCTCCTTCGACAATAAAATGACCCTCACATCTGCACTGATGCACCTGACCCTTGATCAGTGCTCATTTTCTCAGGGAATATGATAGGGGCCTGGGGGAGATACTTTCTCTGCTTTTAGCATTTTGTTCATACTATCAGCAAATGACTATCACAGTAAGTGATCAAAAGCTTCACGGTTACGTTCATTTGGGCTCAGTTTTGTTTTAATCTGCTACTCTGACACTCACTGTTCAGCTGAACCCCTGACACACTCAGAGATTCAGGGAAGGGGCAGAGCAGGTTTCTACTATCTCCATTTACAAATCAGTGTAAAGATGTCTACAACTACTGCCTTAGAACTGAAGTATTTTGGACCCCCAAGGCAGTCAGAGTTATTGTCTTTTCGTGTTTCTGGTGCTTCTATTTATTTCCCCTAAGTGAGTGATATTAATTTTTTTAATAGAATCTGGGGTGCTTATGTTTTAGCAAAATCAATGTTCTACTTTACAGAAATTAATGTGCCAATTCGAAGTTTATCCATTGGAAACTGGAAGGAGAGAAATGAGCTGACCCAGTCCCACCAGGAGA